GTAAAATGAACCAAGGGTGCTAAGTGTGAACAGGTAGCAACAGTCGCATGGCGGTTGTAATGTTCTTTTATGACAGAATTAACACCTAAAGGGAGAAACTAGGAGTTAAACTATGAAATACAGACATGATCTTAACGTCTGCAGAACAACTACTTTGGTGTTGAAGAAAGTCTATTTAAGGCATTAAAGACTTACGGTAAAATCTACACATTTACAACTTTACCACTTCTGCCACTTCATATCATTAATTAACAAAGTCAGTTGTCTAAATGCTGATGCACATAAAAGGTTTTATAGTATGCAGCTAGTAGATTCTGAGTCAGCTAAACCCTGCTGAACATGGAGTACAGCTCTTCCTCAGTGGTGTTGGTCTACGGAGTGCTTTTTTAATATTATAGAAAATACAAATAATGAATATCTCTTCAGGTTCAAGCTGACATAGGAACAAATGGACCCTCTGTGTGGACTACTTAGAGTCAACAACTTTCTAAGGTCAATCTAAACGCCCTACTTATTGTTCTGCAGCCCTCTAGGTGTTCTTTCAGCCTCTCAGTGGGATCTGCTTCTCCTCCACTCATGGTCTTCTGCACTTTGGGCTCTTTCTCCTGCAAAGGCCTCAATTTAACCTGTCATTCCAGAGCCCTGCCATGTGACAGAAAATAAAGCTACTCTATCCTGCAATGACAAGCACAAAAACCAGGCCATGCTGATGCAAAGCTTATTCTTTCTCCTAAAAGCACATTGGCACTGCAGGTCCTGATTTTTGTTTCAGGTTTTTTTAAAATCACATTTATTTTTGTTTTCAAAATGTTGTCCATGTGCTCCAGGGGGAAGTATTTGTGCCTCTTAATCGACTCGCATGAGCAAGCAAACAACAATGACGTCCGGCAGGTCCAGAAATCATGAAATAGATGGAAGTTAAGGTTTTTTAAGGAGTACAACAGAATCCTGAGGCTAAAATGCACAAATAAAAATAGTACAAATGTATTCAGGCATTTTGTGGAGTTTTGGCTGCTATTCTGGTCTTTTTGAATGAGGAGAGGCAGCCAGGAATAGTAACTAAGGGACATCAACAACTTCACAGTGAGGGCAACTTTTAGCCTTAACTGTATATCTTTGGGGAAGATATTCAGAATATTTAAGCCTCCTTTGAAACCTGTAGTTAAGATCAGTCAATAAGAAGAGATTATGATTGAGATGTGAGAAAAAGATTACATTGGACAAAAATTTATTTACTGATGTTAGAAAATTTTGAGTGGTTTGTAAGTTCAACTTCAACTACAACAGAGCACACGAGAAAAAACGTCTGAATCATATTTTGGGATGATTTTTTAATTTGTTATTAGTAAATTATAGTGAAAGACAAGTATTTGGTCAATAAAAAAGTTAAACTCAATACAATGTTGCATAAACTTTAAAAGCAATGACATAGAGCAAATTTTTCTTAAGCCTTTACCAGGTTTGCTCACACTGTTTATGGTATTTTTGCTCATTCCTCCATCAGAGCTCCTACAGAGGAGCTTTGGGGTTGCAACTGGTCAACATTGATTTTCAATTCCTGCTTAGATATTTCTCTGGGTTTAAGGTCTGGAGATTGGCTAGGCCACTCCAGGACCTTGAAATGGTTTTTACAGAGCCACGTCATTACACTGCAAAAAATATGAAATCTAAATAATTTAATTTCTCTTCAAATGAATAAATTCTCAGGTAATTAAGAGATTTGAGGAATGGAATAAGACAATTTACATTTAAAAATAGGAAAACACAACTACCGTCTCTTATTTCAGGTTCTTAATATCCAATCATCTTATTTTAAGGGTACAAATACTTATTTCATTAGCAGATCATTATATTTAACAACTAAAATTGAGATTTAATACATTAGTTTTAAGAAATGTTTACTCATTTTTAGATCGTTTTAGCAGTGTGTTGTCAGAGTGGTGTGTTTAAGATCATTGTCCAGCCACCTTACATTTTCAGTACACTCACTAATGGTAAAAGGTTTGGGCCTAAAATCTCATCATACATGACCCCATTTATATTTTGTTTATATATCAGATGTTGTGTCTCCTTTGCAGAAAAACAGCCCCAAAGCATGACGTTTCCACCACCATGCTTTACAGTAGGTATGGTGAACACCATGGTACTTTCTGTTCCCAAAAGTTTAACTTGGTTACATCTGAGCAAATAATATCCTCCCAATCCATTAAATGATCATTCATATTGACAGACCAGCAGGGGGACTCACCTGGCACTGCTGTATTTGTCCCTACATCTGAAGAAATGTAGTGTCAGAAGCAAATAAATCCATAAGCCTTGGATACAGAAATGTTTCAAACCCTTGAAATGCTATGTATGTTTGGGGGCAACAGCGGTGCCTGATGTAGGAGTTTGCCCTGAAATCTAAGGATTGACAGTTCAAGCCCCAGCTCCAGCTTTCAGTGTCATGTCTTTGGGCAAGACACTTCACCTGCATTGCCTACTGATGATGGTCACAGAGCCCTGTGGCGCCAGTGTACGGCAGCCTAGTTTCTGTCAGTGAGGCCCAGGGCAGTGCGCCCCAGGGCAGCTGTGGCTACGATGTTGAAACTACACTGTTGATGTAGTTTCAACAGTGTGAGTGTGTGCGTGAATTGGTGGATGATTAAATGTTGTGCAAAGTGCTTTGGTCAAGTCTCGTGAATTGAAAAATGCTATATAAGCACTGACCATTTATATAAACCAGAGGCAGGCTGAAGTAAAAAAAAAAAAAACATGGCTCCTTCAGCTAAAATATCTGCAATGTCTTTTTTTTTTTAAATGAATGAAAGGACAAGGTCGGTGCCTTTGTGGATGGGAAAGATGTTTACATGGTCCTGCTGCCTGGATTTGTTAACAGTTTGATCTATAAGTTAACTCCGCTAGTTGAGAAGCAAATCAATTATGGGGTATGTCACAGCTTCTACTGTGATTAGCTAAAAGCTCAACATGTACCAACTGGTGATTTACGCAGTCAGCTGGAAGAATTGTACAGAATGTCCCTCCCTTTTGCGAAACTTTTCACAGGAGCCTTTTCAGATGGATACCGTAGAATTCAAGTTGAACTGGTTTATGCCAGGTTGTTCGTGTGTTAATCTTGGTAGTCTTTGTTCCTTTGGTCCCAGGTCTTTGCAGGTCATTCATCTGGTGCTTCCGTGTAGTTCTGGGAGTTTTCCTCACTGTTCTCTTGATCATTTGTGGGGCCTAGATCAAGGCCCAGCATGTGTTCTATTCTTCACATTGCTCCCACGGTTGATTTATTCACAGCAACCTGCTTGCCTATAGTAGATTCACTCTCCCAAGCCAACAATTTTCCTCCTGGTGTCCTTCTACACCACTTTGATCGTGGGTTGGAGTCTGACTGTTTGAGACTATGGACAGGTGTCTTTTAAACAGATAACGAGATCAGACAGGTACAATTACAACAGGTAATGAGAGGAGAAGAGAAAACCTTCTTGAAACAGAAGTTAAGAGTTCTGTGAAAGCCAGACATCTCGTGTTTAAGTGCCCTGCTCATTTTTCACCAAGGTTTTCAAATAAATTCTTTCAAAAATAAGATTACAGTTAGTGAAATTACAACTCTCTTATCATAATAGGTAGGAGAACGTGAACAATTAGCCCCACTGTTTATTTCAGAAAATTTTCATTTAGCTCATAAACTTTACAATATTTCGACTTTAAAAGCTCAGCTGTATTGGAAGTGAGGGGTACAATTCAAACACTATTCATTAAAGCATTTTGTTAAAAGGTTCAATTTGGTATAATCTAGATTTATACTCATATAACAACAATTAATGACCCAGTTTTCTCATAATAGAGTCTATATTTTAATGAGATCCTCAACATAAGAATAAAGGTTCAGAGAACTCAATAAGATGATGTTAAAAGTTCAGTTAAACTATAGATTTAATCTATGTTATTGTCCTTGGATGATTTTTAACAGATCAAAACCAGAAAAAGCTATGACTGTCCAAATTCCAAACCCAAAGCCACCAGGAATAAAGCTGCTTTCACTGTACAAACCTCTTATCAATATAGGACTGGCACACAAAACATGACTGCAGCTCAAGGCCGGAATAGGCCCTTCAACAGCTTGGCTTTTTCTTTATTTGCAGCTTCATTTCAGACCCCTGTAGCTTTTGTCTGATTTCCCCCACATTTATAGCTCCCTCCACATTGCAGAACTTCCTACAAGTGTGGTAAAAGTCAAGCTTAGTGCCTAGGTTGAAAAAAGGTGCACGAAAACTTCCACAGCCACACTTTGACAGTGGTATGTGAACTACTGTACTTACCTCTTTTTTAAAACCGATTGCTTTAAAAACTTTTCCATTTACCTCTGCTAGCTTTTCACATTAAAAGCCTTTTCTGTTCAATTGTCAAGAGTTTAAATTTATTTCTTAGATTTCTACCCCTCCTCAGTACACTTTAACAGCCCTGTATGATCCTCCCAGCTCGTTTCTACCCTCTTGATTGCTAGCCCCCCTGTTGAGTGGGTTGGCAGGAGAGAGACGGGAACCAGTAGGAGGCGGGTGAGGCCTGCCAGGAAGTGTAGCTACCCCACCGAGTCGCTGTTGGCCCCAGCATTAGCTTATTTGCTGCTGTGCAGATATGCCATCCAAAAATGGACAAAGAGAAAGTATAGTGACATGGCAGGGAAGAGCAAATCCAGGAAGGTATAGTGTTAGGTGACCCACCCGTTTTTTTGACAGCAAACACAACCACAATCCTTGCAGCACCTTGTAATAGCATTAACAGCCAGTTCATTTTTCCAAATGTAACAAGAACTAAACATTGGCTTGAGTTTTGGAAAACAGAACAGATGGTGTGAAAAGAGGTGCAAAATGTGTTAAACAATGAGCTAATACTGTCCACTTCACTATAATGAATTAATTTAGGTTCCGCTGTTGAAAAAATCTTTAAAAAAGGAAGGGTTTTGGGTATTTATGTAGAACACACAATAATCAGGAGTGTGGCATCTGTACCTGTGCAGGTGAAGAACTTGGACTCCCCGACACTTAACTCCACTTTGTTCAAGGATATGGATACCTGCAGAGCAGCTGTTGAAGAGAAGAAAAGAAGCAAAGGAAAAAAAGAGTTACTAGAAGAAAGATTTATTGAATTCACACACGGCAATACAAAACCAGAGAAAACAGCTCTGCAGCTCTTACAGTACTTTCACTGCAACTGCTGGACCTCTGTATCTCTGAGAGGTTTTCATGGAAGAACCATTTAATGGTGCTAGAAGGGTTTTCCAAATCTTTGCCAGAGGAAATGGGGGTTTGACTTTAATTAAATTCTGATGATTTTTTGAAGCAGTTTCTCAGAAATCCAAGAGTTATTGTTCGATCCAAATGCGCTTAGACAAAGATTGGCTTCCATTATTGCGACAAGCTTTCACAACACATGGGATATGTCCTGTTGTTGAACTGTTTTCTGTGACAAATGTGTGAGTGTGGGGTGGGTATGGAGGGGTGGGGAGAAATCAGTAAAGCAGTCGATAGCACTTTTACTTTATTTGACGGAAAAAAATTGCATCCCTGCATGTGAACTGAGAATAACTTCATGCCGATTTAAACAGATACATTCTTTTACCTATGCCAAGATACAAGCTAGAGAATTTCCATAACATTATATCGAAAAAAAGAGACAAAGCGAAAATTGAGAAAAGTTGCTATTTCATTTAAAATATGAAACACAAGTAAAAAACATCCATTCTTAAAAAAAAAAAAAAGAATTGTTCAAAACACATATCTATCTGATGCTCACTTCATTATCTCTGCTCACATCTGTCTCAGTTCCAGTTCCAGTGATTACTGTAATAATCACAGGTCCCTGAAAAATGCAATGCCTTTCATTTCAGGGACAGTTGGTTGCACCAGTACAACCTCAGATTGGTTTTAGTAGCATCATTAAGACACAGAATTGCATGCTAGAGCCCTGATCTATGAAGTGATGTTTTCCCTTTAACCAAACTGTGGTGGTCTAACTCAGAGGTTCCCAAAATGATCAGCTTCTGACCTACAAAATGTTACCAAAGTCAACTAATGATCAAAACTACTGGTTGAGTATTCAAACATTTTTTTAAAAATTACAGAACCGGTGTAACAATATTACAAACAGGATCAGAAACAAAAAGTAGTAGTTGTTTTTTTTTAACTAATGCTTTTATATCTTTTACCATTTTAAACTAAATCTTAATTGTCCATTTTAATTTTTGTAGTGTTCGAGACCCAATCTTTGGTTGATCAGGACTCCAAGTGGGTCATAATCCTAACTTTAGGAACTAATAGGCTTGATTGTGTGTTTTGGACTACTTTCCACCTTTAACCCAAGTGTTGTTGATCTTAAAGTAAACTGCCAGATGTTACAACTTTTATATTGTGGTTCCAGATTTCAAGGTCCTGAACCAAAATATCAGCCTGTGACTATGACGCTACCACCACTGGGTTAGACTGTAGATTATGGTGTTACACCAAATATAACACAATGTCCATCCTCCAAACCACTGATGTCTTGGCAGTCCAAAGACACGTCGATGTGTTGTGTTTGGTAAGCACAGGTCCTCTCTCATTCTGATTATTAGATCATTACCTCTGACCTTAATAGAGATAAATATGCTGTAAGTTTCTTATAGATTTTTCATCTGTCTTAATGAAGGCCTCTTTGTTTAAGAAATTAAGTCTGTTGGATGACAGATGAAACGTCTTCGAGAAACAAGAAAAGTCTGGTTCCATTCTGCAGACATACTAATTATTTTGATGTTTTGGATGTCTGGTAATCTAAGACAGCATTATTAACAGAGGTAAGTGAGGTCTGCAGTGTTTTAGATGTTGTTCTGGGTTATTTTGTGACCTCCTTGAAGAAATCAAATCTTTCCAGTAGAAAAGGGTTAGGGTTCTCAGCAGACCACTCCTTTAGCTCTGATGGAGGAAGCCCAAGGTATTCCGAAACCAGTGGAGAGATGATGTCTTGGGTTGTCTTCTGGGCCTTCTCCAGGTTGGACATGCCTGGAACACTTCCAAACGGAGATGTCCCATAGACATCTGACAAAAATGTCCCAGCAACCTCAACTGACTGCTCTCGATAAGGAGTTGAAGCTGCTCTACTCCGAGCATCTTGCAAATGGTCAAGCTCCTCACCCTATCTCTAAGGGATAGCCCAGCCACCTTGTGGAGAAAGCTAATTTCAGCCGCTTGTATCCAGGATCTCACTCTTTCAGTCATAATCCAGATTTCATGACAGAAATTGAAGATAGGAACAAAGACCGGCCGGTTAATTGAGAGCTTTGTTCGGCCTCAGTGCCTGCTTCTTATTTATATAGGACCAGTTTAAATCATGAAATTTCAAGACTGTTTACAGAGAAACTCAATCAATTCATCATCCAGTCAGATTAGTTGAAAATATTCTATCTCAGGAAATGCAGCTGGTTGCATTGACTCATTGAGCATTTGGTGACAGTAGATATTCGTTTGCAATGTCTATTTAATCCTACAGCCATTCCTACCATGCGCTTTGGTTAAAAATCCTTTAGCCTACCTTATGTTGTCAGACATGTGCTTTTTAATGATTCTTTGATTCTAAAGATTGGGCTGTAATCAGGCTGGTAAAATGAGAGTTGGCCTTCCAATAATGCTGGTAATCAGAGTTAATTCACATAAAGTCGCAAGGATAGTCTCTTTTTCCCCGTTTTAATTAGTTTTATTTACTTGATACTTTTGATTGAAATGATCACTAAAATGAAACAAATGATTTTCCAAGGATATATATATATATATATATATATATATATATATATATATATATATATATATATATATATATATATATACTTTTACCCTTGAAAAAAGACATGGAATAAGAAGAGTAAGAGCAAGAGAAACCGAAAGATAGAACTATTTAAATCACAACTAGGTGGAGTAAAGAATGTGTGTCTTGATGTTTAATGAGCAGTGATTGGCAGCTTTGCATGAGGAAGGTCACTTTAAGGCCAGAGGCTCCTGATGCAGAGGTTCTGCCCTACCACATCTCTATATCTAAGCCTGGATATGTGATGAGCCTGTCATACCCATGGATCTTCTTTTTTTTTATGTTGGAGCCACAATCCTCTTTAGGATCTACATCTCACCACATGCTTTAGCAGAATAATCATATTCTAATGGATGTTAATTCGCTCCACAACACTGGGAACGTAATAGTAGAGCTCAAGGCGCCTGTCAATAATCGGGGAAATGATGAAATCATTATCCGCTGCTTTTCTAGGAGGGATGGCTGCAGCCTACGGCAGAAACACACTGAAGCTGCTCTCCAGAAATCACCGGCAAACATATGCTGTGGCACAAAGACGGCTACAGATGGCAGTAGATCGGCACACACAGGAGGAGGTACAGGAGGCGCTTTATCAATACATCTGATCACTTTCTGACTGAGATGTTGCATCAATGGAAGTGCAGAGCCGTCTGTCATCTTTAAAATCAATTTGCTCATTGCTTTACATTTTTCACTGGCTGCTGGATATAAAGCCTAGATTATAAGCTCAATATCATAATAGATTTTGTCTCATGTTACACAAACACATTTGGAACTCTGCAACACTGCACACCCAGACATAATAAAATTATCTATAAAATATCTCCTCAATCTACAGTCTCAGTTTTGTATTGTATAAATTAAGTAATTTTTTAGGATTCACCTTTACTGTGACTCACTAGTCTTAATTTTAGCTTTATAACCACTGTTTCTGATTATCTTCAGATGTCTGGCACCTGTTAGCAGGTAGCTCAGTCTAAAAAGACTGGACTATATACCTAAATACATTATAAAGGCATGTAGGATAATACAGATTTCCTTCTTCATTAAAGTCCAGGGCTGTTATTGGCCTCTAGAGGTAAATCTGGTTGGTTTAAATCCAACATGCTAAATGATTACTGGTTAAAACATTTTTTTTTTTATTATCCTAACTGGACAATATGACTTGAAATTTACTGATCTATAAAAATCTGTATGCAATAACAGACGTGAAAACATACTCTAAAGGTATGATATGGTAAAGAGAAAGTTGTACTGTAACCCCAAACTAAAGAAAATCATGTGTCTATTTCTGTGGAGGAGGTGATTCCTTGGAGCGTCTCACTGTTTACTGATTGCAATTGTTAAACACTGAATTCTCGCTTTTTAATTTTGAAGAAATTCTAGTTTCTACATTTTCAGTTGTTACCTTCTCAAATCCACAGAGGTATTTACTAAAGTTAAGGACTTCTGGAGCTCTAACCCTTCCTTCTAGAGACTGCTTATTTCTCCTGGCAGTGCCAGTGAGTCACTACAATTTCGTTTCCAACCTTGATTTAAAGCAACTTAGGTTTCAGTGTTTTTTAAAATCTTATGCAAGTTTGTTCCAGATTAGTAGGAAATAAGATTTAAAAGGTGCTTTTGTGGGTATGCAGGGCAGATTTGAGCCAGAAGACCTGAGAGGTCTGAGCAGTTGATAAACAGGCCAGTCTTTAATGTACTTTGGTACTAAGCCATTCAGTGAATAATAGCCCAACAGAAGTATTTCAAAGAATTTTCTGACATCTATGGGAGCCAGAACCTTAGAACAGGGCTGGTGTGCTCAGATTTCGTAGTTTTAAAAGGATGCTTAGAGACTTTTTAGGCAGACCTGTAATCAATCTGACCAAATATAAATATATGAATTAGCTTTTCCAAGATCCTACTGGGACATTAGATTTTTAATCTTGGAGATGTTTTTCAGGTGATAGAGAGTCAACTTTTTAGATTAATTCATGAGCTTCTCAACCTTCAGGTCTTAGTCCATCATTACACTCAGATTTCAGGCCTGATTAGGGGTTTCTGTGCTTAATAAGTGTAGCTGTGTGCTAACGTTTGGCTGCTCCTATTTTGGTCTAAAAATTATAACTTTTGTTTTTTTAGATTAAGTTAATGCTAATTTTGGTACATCCATTTATTGATTTCTTGAACTAATTTTCCCAGAGCTTGAATGGTCTCATAGTCATGGTGATATGGTAACCACAAACTATGTCTCGTATGCATAGTTACGGTG